GACAAGAAGGCCTCCTGCTTAGCGAGGCTCCTGCCTCCTTCCTCCTCCTCCTGTTAGTTCTTCCCCTGGTCTCAGGTGGGCTTCTGTTTATTAGGCCCTTGACCTTCAGGGCCTTTCTGCTCCCTCCCTGGAATGGGGTTCCCTTCTTCTCCCCCTTGCGCCTTCCCGGGTCCCAACCCTTTCCCTTCCCCCCTCCTGCCCTTTGCCTTTTCACCTTCTTCTTTTTCACCCTCTTCCTGGCCTTCCCTTTCTCTTCTCCTCTTCCTTCCCCCATTGACACACACACACACAATTTGCTGGGTTTCCGAGGTGACCAGCAAGCAGTGCAGGGCCGGGCCTGCCGCCAGCCCATGCTTGGCTGGTTCCAGAGCCGAGGCAACTTCATTGTTCGCGGCCTGTGGTCACCGCCTCTGCCCTCTCTCCTGCTCTGGACGCGCGCGCGCGCGCACACACACACACACACACATACACATACGGTTGCTCAGGCTGCACCTTTTATTCCCAGGGTGGTGGGATGGATCAGGTAGGTCGCCTGGGACGGTGGTTCTCCAACTGGGGTCCCCAGAGGGACTTGGACTGCAGCTCCCAGGAGTCTTTGCCCCTTGCTGGGCTGGCCAGGAGTTTTGGGAGCTGCAGTCCAAGACCACCCGGAGGGGGGGGGAGCCCCAGTTGGAGAGCCACTGGCCTAGGAGAGGCTGCAGTCCCAAAGGCGATCCAAAGCTGAGCCCTGACAGCTATTTTGCTAAAGCATTTTACACTCATCGTATCGTCTGGAAAGCCGGCTGTCGTCCTCGGTTTGCCTGCAGCCGCGTTTCCCATTTGGTTTCCATTGCTTTGGTGAAGGGGTGATACCACAAAGCTGAAAACGTGTTCCTCAGAATGTCCCTCAAAATATCTTAAAATGTCCTTTAAAGGCCAATTTTATAAAGTACTTACAATTTTGTCATCATCACCTTGGAACTGCAGAGCTGGAAGGGACCCTATGGATCATCAAGTCCAGCCTTTGTCACAGAGGCCCCGGGGGTGGGGGGTGGAATCAAACTCCCAACCTCTTCCTCCGCAGGTAGAGACCTCAACCACTGAGCTGTCCAGCAGTCCTCATACAGTAACGTTGTTTCTGCTCATTAAATTATTTTGTCCTCTTGCCACCCTTGTAACTTCATTCCACCACTCAAAAATGTAAGTACTGTAGTTACAGGGAGATATTATGCTTGTCACTCTTTATTTTCACGCTCAGGACAAGTGTGTTCTTCTGAATAAATGAAAACAATGCCTTTGTAAGGATGACAATTAGGATAACAACAGGCTCCTTGAAACTGGTGCTTAAGCATCCTTGATTAGCAAGAAAACTGAGCTGCTCCTTTCCCTGGCAAAAAGACCCTTCTGGAAACCACCAAGGAAGTGTTTCACGAAAACTATCAAGGCTTCTATCAAGAGTCCCAGAAAGAAGGGGTTAGGTTGGGTTGCTGGGACTTGTCATTGCAGATCGCTCTGGGTTACTGGTATTGCTGTAACCCAGGTCAGCACTTCTCTGCAGATCGCTCTGGGTTACTGGTATTGCTGAGCATTCCCTAGAGAGGGAATTGGATTTTATTTTATTTAATCTCAAGCAGGTCAGCACTTCTCCCCTGCTGTTGCTGATTTGATGGCCAAGGCCCATAAAAACAGAGGTTGCCATAGGTTGCTGAATCATTGTGAGCAGCAGCTGTAAGTGGGTGTCCTGTCTGCAGTCTTGGTAGTCACAGGTCACACATAGTTTGCGTAGGGCTGGGGAAATTCTGGAGCCGTTGGAGGCGTTGCCTGGCCCTCTGTAAGTTTTGGAGCCTAGAATTCTGACATTCTTTCTATTTGCCACTCATTTGGCACCTGTCTGGGGACGCCCTCCCTGTGTGTTGTCATCTTCAGTCTGCCTAGGACCATGAGGCCTCTTCTGCATTCCAGTTGAGGTATTTCCTTTTTGGGAGGCCTGTTCAACCTCCCCCCCCCCAGTCATCCTTCAGCAAAATTGCTTCTTCTTGACGGGGGGGTGGGGTAGTATTTTTCGGTGAAGTGGGGGTCTCTTCCCTTAGAAACGCAATCCTTTCCTCTCCTCTTTTTTCCTGTGGTCATTCTTTGGCTTCCGAGGTGGATAATGCAAGTCAAGCTGTGGTTTTGTGGTAGCTCACAACTCATAGTGGTATGGACAGCTGTCACTCGTGGAGGAGAGCAGGGTGGATGAAGCAAATGCTTATTGTTACGGTTTTGCAGATGCCCTGCTCAAAGGCCTGCTGTCCCAGCAAGTCGCCTTGTGGGAACACCTGCTCAGGATGGCAACTGTAGAGAGAGATCATTGACGTTCCACTCACCTGAGGCTGATGTTTTGGGACCGTATAAACCGTGGCATCTTTTCAAAATCTCCCTTGGTTTTGCAGCAGCTTTTATGACCCTGAGAGATGCTTTGTGATTCAAACGGGAAGTTTGGTGATAGAAGGGGCAGATTTAAGGGCATAAGGAGTCCATCTGGCATGTGCATTTTCTACTCAAGGTCTTTAATTACTAAGAAGCCCATCACTTCACGGGCAGAGCTGCAGGTGACAAAATCATTGAGCTAAAATTCCACTTCTGAAAACAAACTGAGATGAGATAGCCTTGCAGGCAACCTGAGACCGTTGATGCCACTTGGAAAGTCCTGTGTGTCCCCTGCCTCAGTCTCACTTTTCTCCAGTAGTCTGATCCACAGAGAGATTCTCTCTCTCTCCCGCTTGTGTTCTCTGTTCAGTTTCCCCCTAAATTCCACGCACGTGGTTGCTTTGTAACGGCGGTTTGGGCTGTGGCCAGTGGAAGCAGGGGATTGTGCTGGCTCCTTGATGCAGCCTTGCGCTCTCACACAACTCCTTCAGCAGGGCTTGGCATCGCGGGAAACAGGTATCCATTCTGACTGGAATGGAGAGAGCAGGGGCCAGAACGTCATGAGAATTTAGTCTGCAGCCTCATGTTAATGCGCGGTGTGCAAGGACGCTGTGGAACGGAGCTGGCAGATTGGAAACGTCCACTTGCTCTGTCGCTAGCTACAGATAACAAAGGGCAAGGGACGTCTAGGAACAAAGCCTTCGCACTCCTGTGAGTTCTGGGGGACGAAGCGTCCATCTGAGTGTGGGCTTCTGTCCCAACGCTTGACAGGCTGAAGGAGCCCGGCTGTTGGCTATCTGTTCCTCCTTCGTTTGCCTGGATTTCCTTGCCCACATTTGGTCAGAGAGGTAAACCCTGTGGTTCGCTTTTGCGCTGAACATGCCAAACCCACATAGCTTGCATACCTTCTTCACCACCAAGCAGCGCTGAAATAAGCGTGTGCAGGAAACAAATGGCTTCCTGCTTGAGGGATGTTCTTAAAGAAAGACAAGACAGTTTGGATCCAGAGCTTTTTGTTGTTGTTTAGTTGTTAAGTCATGTCCGACTCTTTGTGACCCCATGGACCAGAGCACGCCAGGCCCTCCTGTCTTCCATTCCCTCCCGGAGTTGGGTCAAATTCATGTTATTTGCTTCGGTGACCCTGTCCAACCAGCTCGTCCTCTGTCGTCCCCTTCTCCTCTTGCCTTCACACTTTTCCAACTTCAGGGTCTTTTCCAGGGAGTCTTCTCATGAGATGGCCAAAGTCTTGGAGCCTCAGCTTCAGGATCTGTCCTTCCAGTGAGCACTCAGGGTTGATTTCCTTCAGAACGGATAGGTTTGTTCTCTTTGCAGTCCAGGGGACTCTCAAGAGCCTCCTCCAGCACCACAATTCAAATGCATCAGTTCTTCGATGATCAGCCTTCTTTATGGTCCAGCTCTCACTTCCATACATCACTACTGGAAAAACCATAGCTTTCTATGGCAGTCAAGTTTGATTGGCTTGTTTCATGTAAGTTTAGAAAATAAGTTCCAGAACTGCCACGTTTACTTTATCGGCAGTGTGACTGTCTGAAAAGATTCCTAGGAGCCAAATGGAGGAATACAAAAATGTTAGATTGGGTAACCAACGAAATTCATTTAGAGTAGCTTATTCAAATACATCCAAAGTTGTATTTAGATTTTTTTTTTCCTGTTAGTAGGCATTTTGCAACTATCAACAAGTGTGTACGTCACTATTAGTTCAACAGGCAACTCCTTTATAAGAGGTGGATTTTAACCTTGCAACATGTTAAACCCTAAAATTTTCTGAATTGTTAAACCCTGAAATAGTGTTAGTGCATGAATTTGGGCATGCCTAAAGAACAGTGTGCAAGTCATCTAGGCATAGTCCTCTGAGGGGTTTTTAATTTATTTAATTGTTTAGCCCTTGTTTTTAGATTTGGTTGCTGTGCTGTCTGTTCCAGTAGCCTGGTTTGATTTGTAGTGAGTGAGTTCTTTTGCTGTGTGACTAGTCGATTTTATTTTAAAAAGCAGAAAATGCTCTGCCCTGAAATACTGTAGTTGAATTATTTAGATCTGACCAAAAAGTATTGCTGGACTTCAGGGCATATTTTCCATTTGGAGAATACCAGCTAAACGGATCAGGCGTAGAAATCTGGAATGGATAGGAATGTGTGTGGGAATCCCAAAGGACCTCTCCATTTCTAGGCATAACCCTTTTGGGATTGTTTCTGGACGGAGGACCTTTGGGGACATGGGGCTCTGCAAAGCACAGCCTTCCCTGGATGAAAGTTGCACTCTAATCGCCAGACCTCCTTACGGTTGGTTGTGCCGGCGGGGGCTCCTGGGAATTGTAGTCGACCCCTGATGCATTCACACTCTTTAAACTCTCGCACGGCAGCACTGTAGATGCTTCCTTGTCCTGCTCATCTTCTGTCACCCTGGTGGCTCTGCCAGCGAGCACATTGATGGCTTTATGTGGCTCTGCCCGCCGGGGGATGCTTCTCAGCACTCTTGAAATGGGGGGTTTGTTGTGCAGATCTTGCCAAACGGTGCCCTATTCAGAGGGATGCCTCAGTTCTGGCTAGCTGGATAGGAGCCCAGAGGTGGCGGTGGGAGCGTGGGCTGTCTTTCCATCACAGAAGGCGCTTTGCTTTCCTGGTTTCTTTTTGTCAGTGCCACAAAGTGCCACAAAAGCAAAAGTCTGCTTATTTGCCCTTGGGGGGGGGCAGATCCAGGCCAGAGGGTCGAGGCTGGGCCAACATCTGCCTTTCCAAGGGGGCTCAACGGTGCCCTCATGCCCCCCTTCAGATCTGCAGGCTTGTGCCCCCAGCTGCATTCCCGTTGGCACCAAAATGTCCCACTTGGGGTATCCCTGAGTACTGTGTCCGTTAAAGGTCTCTGGCTTTGCTCCCCTTGTCCAGCTGGAGGAAGGAGTTGAAGGAAAGCTCCCTGCTCTGCTGGAGCCCCACAAAGTGACAACTCTCTGCACCTTGCATATTGATTTCTCTGGCTCTCGCAGGGAGTTCGCTTCTACGCAGGCTGTGTCATGGCTGGGGCAGAAGAGCTGAGTGGGCAGAATTTGCCAGGTGGCTGCCACCTCGCCCGTCTTCTTCTTCTTCTGCACCAGCTGCCATCAGAGAGAGACACAGGAGGAGGTGTGACAGTACAGATCTTGGCCCTGGCGCCTTCTCCCCCCGGGGTCCACAGAATGGCCAAACGCAGCTGACTTCGTTCAGGGTGAAGCAGCTGGTCAGGAGGTCCTCCCGTGTCTGTTGAATGGCATTTGCTAACCCCAGAGAGAAGCCCTCTGAAGTGGAAGCCAAGCCACAGGGGCCTGGAAGCCAAAGGGGGACGCGCCTGTCTCCCATGCAGGAGGGCCTTCTGTTTGGGGAGGCCTGAGCCGTGGAGGCTGCTGCCTTGGCTTCTCCCGTAACCGCTGCTGCAAGGCCCACCTGCCGCAAGAACGAGCTCCCGCCACAGGCAGGCGCGAGCAGCTCAGCGTGATCTTGCAGCGCTCCGTTGGGTCCTCTTGCCGGCTCCGGGCACAGAGGGAGGCTCCGGCAGCCTTTCCCGGCAGCCTTGCCTTCCTCTTCCCACTTCTGACTCTGAAGCGCTTTTGGGAGAGCCCTTTGCTGCTTAGGCGCCTCTCTCTTTCTCTCTTCCTTCCTCGGTGCTGCTGCTGCAAGCAAAAGACAAAACCAGCAGCCGCTGACGTTCGTTTCATGTTTGATGACAAACGGTGCCTCCCAGGAGCCAGCGGGGAGAGGAGAGGTGATTCATCTGTTCTGCATGCCTGTCGGCCTGAGCAGTGTGGGAACTGCTCTCGCGTTTCCCTGTGTCATGCTACCCTTGAGTGCCTCGGTCCTCAGCGGCTGGCTGTGGGTGCCGGGGACCAAGATAGGGTCGTGGCCCCCATTCCGGAATCCTCTGCCAAGGGGAGTGCCCCCCCCCGTGCCTGGCAGGCAGGGGAGGAGTCTTGCCACGGGCGAAGCCCTGCCTTGGGCACTGCTTGTGTTTTCTCTGCTCGTGTTGCCCAGGTGGACTTGGCATTTCCTACATGGGCCTGGAAGCTGCAGAAGGGGTGCCACCCCGAAACATGCCGGCTGGTACTTCAGCTGACTGACTGCGTGCTTGAGTTTGTCATCAGAGCTGGAATACGGATTCTGTCTCTTTGTGAGGAGAAGAGATTCCGAAGGGTGCAGAGAAGTCTCTTCCCCGGGCAAGTGTTGGGTCCCTCTTCCGCCACACTTCCTCTTGATAAAAGGCAGCTTGTGAGCTCTGGGGCGCGCGCTGTCATCCCCGCATCTCTAGTGATCCCTAAAGGTTCACTGCCGATGGGACTGTTGGGCTTGTGCCCGTGTGCCCAGAGCGCGTCTGTGAGAGGGACCGGCAGCCTCGGCACCAAGGGACTTTCCTCTTGGCTCTGCCACCTCCATGCTGGGAGAGCAGCTTTTCCAGGGCTTTGTGTCAGGGACGGGGCTAAAGGGCTTCACGCTTGTGCGGAGGTGTAACCCGGGCTGAGCACGTGGTGGCCATGAGTGTGTTTAGCAAGTGCATGTGTGAACAGAGAAGGCACTGCATGGTCAGCGCCCTCTGCAGAAACGATCCCCACCGTCTCCACGTTGTTTTGGGAGAAGTGCCCTGCTCAAAGTCCTGAAGGGCGTAAGGGAGGCAGAGGTGGATGGGCCAAGATTCGGGCTTGCTCTGAAGCATCTCCCAGCAGCAGCAGCAGCAGCAGCTCCTCCCTTCGGGGAGAAAAGGGGGCAACAGCAGCAGCGGTAAGGGAGGCAGAGGTGGATGGGCCAAGACTCGGGCTTGCTCTGAAGCAGCTCCCAGCAGCAGCAGCAGCTCCTCCCTTCGGGGAGAAAAGGGGGCAACAGCAGCAGCGTGCAGGTTTGCCGAAGGTGGCTCTTCCTTTGCCTCTCTTGGGACTCAGCCACCCGTTCTGTTTGCCCTCTAAGGAGGAGGAGTGCGACCTTCGCAAGCATGAGCCCAGTCTTTGGGTGAAGGGGTGTTTTAAAACAAAATTGTCCTCCTGCTCACACCGCAAAGCGTGGCTTAGCCCTGAGCTACGCAAAGCTGAGCTTGGCTCTGCTATGCTCGTCGCTCCTTGGCCTTCGGGGAGAAAAGGGGGCAACAGCAGCTGAGCTTGGCTCTCCTTGCCCATCTTCATTTGGTTGTATCACCTGTTTGGCATCCCTCTGGGTGTTAGGAATGAAGGACGTGCCAGTGAGGCCAACGCCGGCCTGTAAGGGAACTCTCTCTCTCAGGGCCTCACTGAGAGCGTCTGCTTTCTTTTTCTCTTTGCAGAACTAAGAATGAAACGGCGAGTATCCGACAGAGGAGGTGGAGAAACCTCAGCCAAGGCGCTCTGCCCAGGAATTTCCAGCAACAGCAGCACCAAGCGGGCCGGGCCTTTCATCCTCGGTAAGCCAGGGGGGGGGGGCTGGCCTCCTCGTGGCCCTCCAGCGTGGTCCCCCTGCACCCCTTGTGGGTTGAAACTCACTCAGGAGGAACTGTGGCAGGGCTGGAAATGTAGGCTAGCTTTATTTACGTGGTGGGACTATTCTTTAGTGCCATTCTTTCAAAAGATGCCACGATGATGCCCCATCGTCATGACTCTCTTTCTTCCATGCGATGCACTCCTTCCAGGCCCCAGTGAAGACAGGGGCAATTCTGTGCCTTTCTCTCTGCATTGTTCCAGGACAGAGGGCAGGAAGCACCTTCCTCTGAGGCTCTCCGTGGTGGGCAGAAAGGGCCAGTCGGAGGAAAGGGAACTTCCTGGCGCTCAAAAGAGGCAGCCCGGCTGCTCTCTGTGTCTGGTGCAACCACAAGCAAAGTGGTTTCTTCTGCTTTTCCGTTTCCAGGGCCCCGCTTGGGGAACTCTCCGGTGCCGAGCATTGTCCAGTGTTTGGCCAGAAAGGATGGGACCGATGACTTCTACCAGCTTAAGGTAAGCTGGAGCCTTCCTGCATGGAGGCCTTCAGACTCTCTGCACGCTCATCTAGTGTGGACCAAGGGCCACAAGATCCAATGTGAATTGGGTGCCTCGCCTTGCCAGGCTCAGAATTCAGCTGGTGGTCCAACCTGGCCCAGTTCCTGCCCTTAATTCGCAGGGCTTTTTCTGTACCCCTACCTAGAGAGGGGTCCTTTCCTGGCCTGCTAACCCCTGAAGGCTTCAGACTCTTAAGTCCTGTTCAGCCAAGGCTCTCTTGAACCTGTCAACAAAGACATGAGTTTAAACTGGCAAAAAAACAGGGGCTTTGGTCACATCAACACAAAAGATGCTCACAGACACCTGTGGCCTTAAGCACTGTTGAAACAAGGCAGCTTTGGCCGACTTTCTAAGAAGAAGCACCAGGCTGGTTCACCTGGACCTTTGGGAGAGAAGGGGAGATGTGGGGAAATAGTGGCGGCCTTGTGTGCGTCTGCACAGCCCATGACCCACAGTTTGTCCATTGGCTTCCCTTTTGGCCCAGCTTTGCTTCTTGTCCTTCAGTGCAGTTGGGAAGCGTTTGGGGAGGGCTCGTCCCCTTTCCTTTTCTGGAGTGTGACCAAAGCAGAGAAGAGTCTTTGCATCTGTCGTGTGAAGCACGGCCCCGGGGTCACGTGCCTCCAGGACTTCTGCTCCGGGCACATGGTTTTGGTTCGGAGACGTTTCAGCTCTTGTGCCAAAGAAAGAAACCAACTCTCTCTCTCTCCCTCTCTCTCTCTCTCTCTCTCCTCCCTTCCCTCCTTTCCCAAAGATCCTCACTTTGGAGGACAGGCACGACAAAGGCACAGAAACCCAGGAGGAGCGTCAAGGCAAAATGCTGCTTCACACGGAGTACTCCCTCCTCTCCCTGCTGCAGAACCAGGATGGGGTGGTCCATCACCATGGCCTTTTCCAGGTAAGCCCAGCCACACCGGACGCGGCTTGGGATTGAACCAGCAGCAACCTCCCTGCACGCCTCCCCAGTCTCTCCCCAGGTCTGGTCTTTGAAGAGGGCAAACGTGTGTAGGCTGAGACGTTTCCTTTCTGGAAGGGCCCCCCTCTCCTTCCCTCTCCTTCCCTGTGTAGCCCAGCTTTCCCCAGCCCAGTCCCTGCTAGGGTTTGGACGTCAGCGACCCATCAGCCCTGCCGCACGGCCAGGTTAAAAAAAATTCGTGGCCATCCTGCTGACCAAGACCAAGCTGTCTGTTGGGTCGGACTTTTCCCCAGTAATCGACTGCCCGTCTTCCCGCTGCTGTCGGAGGCGGATGGGAAGCAGGTGCCCAGCCTCAGCGGTTGTGGCAGGTTGTCCATTTTCATGTGCCATAGCTGTAGAGTTTGAGCCCGCTGCTGGTCTTGGGGGCAGGGGTGGAGGAAGTGGGATGGCCAGCGTGGGATATGGGCTTCCAGTAGCCAGCACAGAAGCCCGGGCTCGCTGACCGAGGGGAAGGCCAGCCGATTTAACGGACACCACTTTGGCCCTGCAGGACCGAGCCTGTGAGCTTGTGGAAGACCTGGAGTCCAACCGCATGGTCCGAAAGATGAAGAAGCGCATCTGCCTGGTGCTGGACTGTCTCTGCGCCCATGACTTCAGCGACAAGACCGCCGACCTCATCAACCTCCAGCACTACGTCATCAAGGAGAAGCGCCTCAGCGAGCGGGAAACCGTGGTGATCTTCTATGACGTGGTGCGGATAGTGGAAGCCTTGCACAAGGTACGTGCGCGCACACACCCCGTGCTTGTCCCAAAGAATAGGAGACAGGAGGCTTCTGTGCCGCAGTGGCTGAACTGCAGCGCTGCTGTTAAGACTCTGCTCACCACCTGTGTCTGATCCTGACAGACTCAGATAGCCGGCTCAAGGCTCCTTCAGCCTTCCATCCTTTTGAGGTTGGTCGATTGAGTACCCAACTCACTGGGGAGGAGGGGGACAATGTGCCTCCTGCATTATTGAATTGTAAATTGCCCAGAGGTTGCTTTAAGCACTATAGGGCAGTATAAAAGCAACACGTTTTGCTGTAAACAAGATGTGTGAATGCCAGCATCTGGTAGCCGTAGCCGCCGTCTCTTGGATTTGCAGAGGGGGGCAGGTTGGCCCATAGGACGGCGGGCCTTCAGCTAAGGTAGAACCGTCCCTGTGAAGCTCCTGGCGGTATCCAGTGGAAGTGTCTCAGGATGTCCCTGCTTGCATGCAGCGGTGGAAGCGAGTGGGAAGGGCTGTCTTGATGTCTTCAGTTTTAGCAAATGCAGTCGGGCCGAATGGCATGTGTAGGGTGGAACTGGGGGCCCCGTGGGCTTAATCTAGACACTCTGCGCCCGGCAAGAGGGTCTTGTTCCCTCCCCTAGAAGACATGTTGCTTTTCTCTTTCCAGAAGAACATCGTGCACCGAGACCTGAAGCTGGGAAACATGGTGCTGAACAAAAGGTGAGCCAACCGGGGGGGGGGCATGGGCGGGGGGGGAGTGCCCTTGGGTCTCTCCGCCTTGGGACGTGTTTCCGTCAAGGTCTGTGAGTCCTTCTCCAGGGCTCCCGTAGGTCACGGATCCCAGCAAGGCGTTGTGTGGCAGCCCCCGGCTGTGGTGCGAAGAGCGGCTTGAAGAGAGCTCCTGCTGCCTGGTGTGCGCGCATCCGCACACCGCTGGAAGGGCTGCCTTTTCTCCTCCTTTCCTTCTGCCTTTTAGGAGGACGGAGTGTGTCCGATCCCAGGGAGGCCCCGAAGGAAGCCCCGCGAGTGGGCGTGGGGCAGAGATGCCCCCTCGGTCCGGCCTCTGGGGTGCCGGCACCTGCTCTGCTCTCGCTGACTCCACCGCGTTGTCCCCTGTGGGTCTGCCCCTTCCGGAGCAGAAACCAGGCCGGCCTGTTCTCTTCGCGCAGTCCCCATCCCGGCCGTGTCGCCTCCCTCTCCCTCCTTTTACGCCCAGGCAGCCCAGAGTTCACAGACGGGGAGCACCACTTCCCTAAGTCCGTGGCCTTTTTCGTTTATTTATTTTTACTCCACTCCAGTGTTTTTATGTGTTTGTGGGTTTTATTTGGAGGTTTTTGTTTTTTGGTTTTGTTTTGTTTTGTTTTTGAACCTGCTGTTCTCCCTCTTTCTCTCATATTCATTATCATGTGGCTTAGGGTTGTGGCAGGCTTCTGCTTTCAGCAGGTTCACGCAGGCAACCTTTTAAAAGGGGATTTATTCAGAAAACATGTCACACGTTCATGGCTGGCAAGCAGCCTTCCTGAAAAGTCGGTGGTCCTCTTGAAAGAAGAACGCGAAACAGTTTTGAAGGGTGAGGGGCAGGGTCCATCGGGCGGCTCTTTCAGTCCATGCACCTTGCCCAAGGATGCACCCGTGGCCGGGCCTGTGACCCTTTCAGCCACACCCGTTCCGTCCCGGGGATCCCAGCGGGACCTTCTTTCTGGAGGCACGGCAGGGATCTGGGCTCCAGTCTTCTGAGCCATTCCGGCACGCTGACCGAGTGTCCCTGTTCAGCAGCATAGATCGTGACTCGCACCACACATTTTGGAAGCCTTCGGCTCTTGCGGAAGGGGGCTAAGCTCAGGAAGGCCGGGCTCTGCAGAAGCCGCTTTGGCTCCTCCTAGTTGTGGGAACAGGAACAAGCAGGCGCCCTTCGGGTCATTCCCAAATCTTCAGGAGTCTCCCTAGGATGATGACGACTCGTTCCAGAAGGCTGAATCACAGAGGCTGACTTGGGGAGACTGGGCAGTTCTCAACGGGTTGGGTGGGTGGGTGGTGTCAGCAACTCAGAGCCTTCCCGCTGCATGAAAAGATTGGATTCAGCCACTGTCTGGAGAATGTAGAGCTCTTGTATGCACTCAGGATGCCTGTCCAGTTAATCTGCGAGGCAGGTTTCATCCTGCCACTCTCACTTCAAAGGTGCAAAATGGGAAGAGCCCCAGGGGTAGGATCCACAAGCCTACATAGAACCGTCCCTCAGAGTAGCAAAGGTGCCCATTGCGGCCCCCCCCCCGCTTCCAAAGACGGAGGAGGTGCCGTCCTGGTTCAACTCTGTCTCTCGCTCCCCTCCCCATAAGCATGGCACCTCTGACCCGATGCTGCAGTTGCCATGCGCCTCCTGCACTCTCACGCCACGGGCAGTGGGGGGCTGTTTGCCATCTGTCCTCAAGGCCCCCTGGAGCGTCGTCTCTGTGTTGGCCCCCTTTGGGGGGTCTGCTTGCCCAAACCCCTTTCCTCCTCGCCTCCAGGACCCACCGGATCACCATCACCAACTTCTGCCTGGGGAAGCACCTGGTGAGCGAAGACGACCTTCTGAAGGACCAGCGCGGCAGCCCCGCCTACATCAGCCCCGACGTCCTCAGTGGTAGGTGGCTTCCCGTTCGCAAGGGGGCTTGGCTGTACGGCGGCTCTCCTTCTCCCTTTCCCCTCTCGGTCTGGGCCCTCTTCCCCGTCTCTCGCTGGTTCCTGACCATCCTGTGATCCCGACATCCAGGCCGTGGGTGGTCCCTGGCAGAGGGGCACGCACGCTTTGGCAGGACCCCTTCCACCATCTCCCCATCGCCCCCAATGGGTGTCTTTCTCCCAGGGCTGGGACCCAAGGCCAGCTTGCAAGGGGGTTGGAAAACCCTGCCTTCTCTGAGGTCCTGCCGATGGCGGTGAGGCCGGGTAGACAGCACCTCCTCTCTTGCCGGCCTCTTAAGGCTGTCTTCACAGCTTCTGCAGAGGAGGGATCAGGAATGCCACCCAGGAGAGAACGGGTCTGCTCCTCCCTGGCAGTCTGTGCTCACTCAATGGGGCTTCCTCTGCCTTCAGGTCGGCCGTACCGCGGGAAGCCCAGCGACATGTGGGCCCTGGGGGTGGTGCTCTTCACCAAGCTGTACGGGCAGTTCCCCTTCTACGACAGCATCCCGCAGGAGCTCTTCCGCAAGATCAAGGCTGCCGAATACACCATCCCGGAGTGAGTGCACACCAGCCCCTGCCCTGAGCCCTCCCTAGACCTCCCCTCCTTCCACGTTGGGAGCCTCTCCCGAGGCTGGTCTGAGAGCCCCAGTTCCCCTGGCATCGTTCTGGGGGTCCTCCGGCAAAGGCGCGTGCCCCCCCTCCCCCTGTGGCAGGTCCTCCTCTCTCCTGATCCTCCCTCTTCTCCAACAGAGATGGCCGGGTGTCGGAAAACACGGTGTGCTTGATCCGGAAGCTGTTGGTCTTGGACCCCCAGCAGCGCCTGACCGCCTCCGAAGTCCTCGACTCCCTCAGCTCCATCATTGCCTCGTGGTAACGTGTCTCGCTGGGGGGAAGGGGGGCATTGCTGGGCCAAGACCAGTCCCTAGAAAGCCGTGCCAAGGGGCTTGGGCACATGGGAGGGGGGTGCTCGCCTGCTGAAAGCCGATGCCTGCCCCATCAATCCAGGTGGGCAGGGGGTGCGTAGGCTCTGAGGGGGCCTCTAACTTCTTGAAGGAAAGCACTGCTGGCTGGCTTTCAGAACATTCTCCGTGTTTTGTGTTTCATGCTTCAGAGTGAGGGTGGGGAGCACTGGGATGCCTCTTGGGGGATCCAAACTCCCCCTTGGCCGTGAAGCCCAAGGAGGCACACTCTGACCTACAGCCAACCCCCCCCCCTTTGACTCCTTCCCCTGCAGGCAGTCTCTGTCTTCACTGAGTGGGCCTTTGCAGGTCGTGCCAGATATAGATGACCAAGTGGCCAATCCAGAAAGTGCCCACGAGGTAAGGCCTGCTGGGGATGGGATGGCCGGCACAGGTCAGGGTGGGCACTTGCCCTCGCCCCCGCCCCCACCCTGCACCCTGGCGAGAGGGATGCGCCTGCTCCTGAGAGCAGGGCTAAGAAGCCAGAGTCCGTGCTGGGGTTCGTTCAGCCTCCCCCTGATCTCCAGGCCTCCCTGCACCACCAGTTTCCTTCTGCACCCCAAGGTGTGTTTCCACTGAAACCTGTGAAGGCATCAGGCAGTCCAGTCCGGATAGGGCCTGCCGGTTGTGGGTTCGGTGGAGTTCGCTGTCCCTGTTTGATCTTCCAGGCTTGGACCAGGGGGGACGTCCGATCCAGGATGTGACAGTCGCCGGTTATTCTCACCTTCCTTCTCCAGCACGCCTGCCCTCTCTTCTTCCCTCCAGCTCTCTTGAGGAGTCCTGGCTGTCTCCGCCTGCCCTCCCTCAGGATTCTGCCCCTTTGCTCCCTCCCACCGATCCACCCTTTCCCCTCGAGCAGGACAAGAGAGGGAGAGAGGGCTGAGAATATTCTTTATGATGGAGCCATTCTTGATCCCAGGAAGCCCTCTAAAAAGCCTTAAGCTGGAATCTGGGAGAGTTGCATGCCTGACTTCATCGGTGTGGGGGGGGGAAATTTGCAGGCCAGAAACTGGTCCACATCCTGTGACCAAGGGTAGGGCCGGTCGGTCTCCTAGCAGAGACATTTTTCTGTCTGCTCTCAACAAAGCGAAGGCTCTCTTTGAGGCCAGACCAAGGGGCAGTGCCGGAAACAGGCGTTTTAAAGCTGCTGCTCCCCGATGTGTGTCCCGGGGGGGGGTTCCGGAGCTCATGTGGCCACGCAGGGGTGGGGGTGCGTCGCTGGGCGTGGGCCGGATCCTCTTCTTCCCTGGCCATGCCTGACAGGCTTCCTCTCTGCTCTCAACAAAGCGAAGGCTCTCTTTGAGGCCAGACCAAGGGGCAGTGCCGGAAACAGGCGTTTTAAAGCTGCTGCTCCCCGATGTGTGTCCCGGGGGGGGGTTCCGGAGCTCATGTGGCCACGCAGGGGTGGGGGTGCGTCGCTGGGCGTGGGCCGGATCCTCTTCTTCCCTGGCCATGCCTGACAGGCTTCCTCCTTTCCCACAGGCAAAGGTGACTGAGGAGTGTTCTCAGTATGAATTTGAGAACTACATGAGGCAGCAGCTGTTGCTGGCAGAGGAAAAAAACACTCTCCACGAGGCCAAGGGCTTCCTCCAGAAGCGCCAGTTTGGGAACATTCCCCCCGTGCGGCGCCTCGGCCACGACGCTCAGCCCATGAACCCCCTCGACGCAGCGATTCTTGCACAGCGCTACCTTCGGAAGTAGCTCCCCGAGCCTCCAAGAGACGCCCGCCGCCCGCCCGGCACGGGGCCGCCACCGCCCCCCAATCATGTAGCAAGTCTTTCCGGATCTTCTGAGCCCCGAGGGGCCGCACCGGTTGCGCTCGGCCCCAGGAGGGCCCGGCGTCTCTGGGCGTGGGCCGGATCCTCTTTTTCCCTGGCCATGCCTGACAGGCTTCCTTCTTTCCCACAGGCAAAGGTGACTGAGGAGTGTTCTCAGTATGAATTTGAGAACTACATGAGGCAGCAGCTGTTGCTGGCAGAGGAAAAAAACACTCTCCATGAGGCCAAGGGCTTCCTCCAGAAGCGCCAGTTTGGGAACATTCCCCCCGTGCGGCGCCTCGGCCACGACGCTCAGCCCATGAACCCCCTCGACGCAGCGATTCTTGCACAGCGCTACCTTCGGAAGTAGCTCCCCGAGCCTCCAAGAGACGCCCGCCGCCCGCCCGGCACGGGGCCGCCACCGCCCCCCAATCATGTAGCAAGTCTTTCCGGATCTTCTGAGCCCCGAAGGGCCGCACCGGTTGCGCTCGGCCCCAGGAGGGCCCGTGAAAGACGACCCTGTGGGGGAAACAGGCAGGCGGATTGGAACTCCAACCCTAGACGGCTGATTTGCTTTGAATCATGACTCTGAAATCTACCTCTCTGTCTTTTTTTAACCACACTGTTCTCTGGACTGAAACGAGGAGCGTCTGGACCACGGTCGCCCCGGCAGGCTGCTTTCCTGACACAAGCAGTGGGCTGCGGAGTCCACCTGGGTTGTGTTTTGCTCCGTATGGTTTGAATAAGCTTCATTATTTACTCCCTTTCCCCCCCTCTCTCTCTTTGAAGGGTTTCGTGAAAATCATTATTTCTCAAACCTCTTTTTTCTTCCCACCCACC